GGTGCGGCCGCAGTCACGGCTCCGTCACGGTGTGGTGTGGGGGAAAGGGCTCTGCCCGGTCCCCAGGCGGGCTGGGACCGGCTCGGCCACGCTGAGGTAAAATGGCTGCCCTGAGGGCACAGGGAGCTGCGTCCAGGCCTGGGTCCACTGCTCGGCCGTACGAGCATACTGCTTACGTGTACCCTACAGCAGAGCATTAAATTTAAGTTTTAGGGCGGTTTGGGTTGGTTTCGTTTTGTTTTATTTAGTTTTCACCCCAACACTGAGCTCTCCCATTTCTGAATGCTACATCGGGGTTCTTAAGGGCTCTTATCCTTATCTCATGGTCAACGTGTACCCTACAGCAGAGCATTAAATTTAAGTTTTAGGGCGGTTTGGGTTGGTTTCGTTTTGTTTTATTTAGTTTTCACCCCAACACTGAGCTCTCCCATTTCTGAATGCTACATCGGGGTTCTTAAGGGCTCTTATCCTTATCTCATGGTCAGGTCTGGAAGGACACTCAAATCTACTTTGCAGGCTGAGCGCAATGACTTTGGACAGAACAAGCCTCAAAAATGTACTTCACTTTGTTTTTTGTGTTTATGTAAGTTAATAAAAGTGGAGGAACAAAAAAAGCATTTGAGATTGTGCAGGCACGTCTCAAGTGGATGCATTTATGAAAATGCCGTGTCCTGAGGGCTGTGTGCTACAGATGTGTGTGCTATAAGGTGTGCCTTCGGAGGTTTAACGTAGAGTTACAGGAGAAATGCGTATGAAAGAGGGCAAAAAAGGATTCCCTGGTGAAGAAGCAAGAAAATAATACCCAGCTACACTGTGTTTATGAGGTTATAACTTAAATAAAGCCACTGTAAAGCACCAGTGTACGAGTCTAGTTTGTCACAAAGCCGCCTAAGATGTGTTAAGGCAGTAAATGTGGCTTTAGATAGACAAACCACTTCCCCGTGCCCTCAACCCTTGGAGCACGGCCACACGTCCCCCCTCGCCATGAGCCAGCGTGACTCCTGCAGCTGCTCACGCCGGGAGTGCAGTTCGCACGTTGGCTTCTGAAGTGAGAGTATTTTGTGTGGTCCGTAAGATAGAACAGATGTAGGAGGGATGCGTCTAAAAACATTTGAAAAAGTCGCGCTTCTGCAATCTGAATGTCTCATTTATCCCTTGGTACTTGCTGTATCGGCACAAGCGAGTCCCTGTGGTGCAGGAAAGGTTGAGTCGCTTTAACCACCACGACGGGGTTAAAGTAGTGTCTGAGTGTGTAGAAAAACCCTTTAGGCTCCTAAGTTAATTAAGGGATTTTGAAAAATGTGTCATGCCTGTTTAGTGGAGTCTGTCATGCATACTTCATTTTTCATGAGTTAATTAAAAATGCATATTCCGCTAGAAAAACAGCAATCCTGATGACTTACAGTTAGAAAAATATTTTCAGTGTAACGTCATAACATGTTTGACTGTTACAAATGCCTTTCATTCTTCTCTCGTATAGATTTAAGTACAGCGATGTGCTCTGCTCTAGTGATTTTTAACATTGGTAATGTCTGTTAGGTTGCTAGTGGTTTAAATAAAGACTGCTATTAATCACTGAAAGATGTTAAAAGAACGCCCATCTTCAAAAGTGGTGGTTTGCAAAGTACAAACTACCAGCTATCTAGGGATTTTCTACATCTTTAAAAGAGTGTTACAGTTTCACAGTTCTCTCTGTAGCGGAATAGGAACTGGGGAGATGACTGCAGTGTCCCCGTGGTTCCAGCGCTGATCTACACGATGTCAGTGGGTGCTTGGCGGTAAATACATTTTTTGAACCAGCACAGTTTAACAAGCTCATTCAGTTAATTGCCAGACTTGTTGCATATTAAAAAAAAAAAAAAAAAAAAAAAGAACAACTCCCCTCCCCACAAACAAACCAAATCTCGAAGGCCCTGGATATGTTCTTCCCAGGTGTAAGGGAAGCTCCATCCTTTGTCAAGAAATGAGTCTTTATTTTCAAAAGCTTATTAAACTGGTGAAAAGTTATTCTTAAAGGCATCATAAAATAATGGTAAGTCTGCCCGGTTTGCGAAAACCCTATTGCATAATTTCTTTTGTGTGTTAATAAGCCTCATAACTGCTTTAAATGATTGCCTTAATTACCTTAATGAAGTGTCTCTTTATAGAAATATTGAATGTTTTCTTCCTCATTACCTTTTTTAGCTCTGTGTTATCAGCGGAGCGCTTAAAACAGTTGGATAAGCTGCAGAACATGTATTTGTTTTGTCGGAGTCGCTTTTGGCTTTCTGGCAAAATGTATATGTGCAGAATCATTAAACATTAATTATGTAGAAAATAAATTACTGGGAAGGAAATGGCAAATAATCTTGCTAAAAAAAAAGAAAAAAAGCCAACTAGTGTAAAATGACAAGCTTTCGTTCTCAAAATGACAGTAATGAAAGCCAGGGCTTTCCAAGTGAGAATATTGATGAATAATGCAAATATTAACTGTGTGACCCAGCGCGGGAAGTGCCTGAGCGTGCTGAACTTACCCGGGGGGAGATACGCTGCAGAACACTTTGTTACGGCCGTTCCCCTCTCTGCTTTAGGCCTTCCCACCCAGAGAAAGAAAAAACACAACTTTGGTTTGGCCCTTCATGATGTTTTTCACAGCCTTCCCTCCTCTCTGCTTCGTCCCCAGACCGGTGTTCAAACACTCCCTCGCCCTTTGCATCCCCGTGCCGCAGGTGGGTCTTTTTATGCAAAGGTACTAAAATGCTTTATCGTGGCGTCACCGCTCATTTTTATTTCTGAGGGAACAGAGGCGTTGGCAGCAGGAGGTGTCGCGGCGGCGGGCGGGCAGGGTTGGGTCGAGTCCCGTGGGCTGGCGCTCGTCACCTTCACCGCTCGCCTGGCTCTGTCAGCGAGAACTCCTTTTTCCTAATCCTTAGCACGGTACGATCCAGCTGGGATTAGTCTGGGACTAATCGTACTTTGTTGCAACGTAACAGTTCATCAAAGCTCAGATTGTTTGGAAGAAAAGGGTCATTTTTAAAACGGTGGCTTAAGTTGTAACGGGTTTTTTTTGGAGAACTAAGCTTTGAATTGTCCAAACTTCCCGTTTCCCTCCCATAACAGTCGTTTGGAATATGCTGCTTGAGTGGTTTCTTTGGCATTTCAGGAGAAACTCGAGACTGCACTGACAGTGTCTTCGGAGCTTGAAATATTAAGCTGATTATTTTGGGGGACTTCGATTTTCAGTAGTGCCTCAATGTTATCAAAGTTAGTATTTGAACATAGAAAAAATGCAAAAGTTCGTTCTGTGATTTTTTTCAGAGAAACTCTGAGTACATTGGTAAGACAAGGAAAGCGTGTGAAAGTTTGAAAATATTTCCCATAAAAGTGGATGGTGGTAGAGCTCGTTTTGTCTATGTAGGTTTATATGTAAGCAAAAAGATTTCATATGCGCGTGCTGTGGCATGTCTTGATGCAAAGGAAAAACAACACGCTGCGACGGTGTGAATTTTTGCTGAAAGCCCGCCCGAAAGGCCACACACAGGTGGAGATTTAAAGAAGAAAAACCACCCAGAAGAGCGGGCTGGCATTTTCCGTAGATGGCACCACCCGAATTCAAATCACGCCTGGAAGGCACTGTGAAAATGCTCATTTTTATAAATCCTGAAACATTGCTCCTTTTTCTTCGTTAGAACAGCTACACCATCGCAGCTGTTAACACGATGTGCATGGCAGAACCAGGATCGGAAGGTCCCCGGAGCCGACTGCTGAGGTCTTCATGGGCTTCTCCAGCGCAGCCCGGACCTGTTCCTGCGGCCGCAGCAGTGCAGCGCCACCAACCACCTCATCATCCCAGCTGGTCTCCAGCAACCTGCCGGGCTGGCTGGAGGGGCGCACGGATGCAGAATCTAGTTAAATCGTATGTGGTTGGTTGTCTCGCTAGTAGTAATTAAAGGTTAA